AGGCCGCGCCTACAGAGCTGTACTCAGCGAAAGAAATGAGATGCAACTGCTGCTGCTTCATCTTTTCTCGGTTTGCTGCGTTGTTTTTTTCGGCTTCGCATCTACCATGTTTGTTTGGTGCCGGTGGTGCGTTGGGTGCCATGGCGCAGCTGCAGCAATTGAAATTCGGGCTGTTCTTTTTTGTGGTCTCCTGTACCACGTACTGCTCAAGCGCACCGGTCGATCACCCGTTCAAGTGGTATGATACAACCAACCTTGGATCTATACACCCGGCATGTTAACAATGGCTCGTGCATACATGCGGAAGAAGAATAAGACGGTGGAGGTATTGCATCACCTCGTTGCAAGTTAAGTTTTGCGAGTATGCGATGTATCCGCGCGCGCGTGGAGTCAGCGGGGCGTTGTTTGTTTGTGTGTGGATACAGGTCCGGAATACTAAATTCGTCAAGGCATCCATGCAACCAACCACTCGCCCACGCCCGCCCCTTCCGGCCGGCCGGCCGGCCTGCTTTATTCGCACGCATCATCGGTCCCGCGAAAATCAAACAGGAGCTGAGCGCGTCGTCAAAGACGCTCATGGAGGGCATCAGCGAAGTCGCAAAGGAGGATGTTGGCGCAGCAGGGGCAGCAGCGGCAGCAGGGGCAGCAGCGGCAGCAGCGCCGCCAAACCCAACGACAGGAGACGCCGGGGGAGGAGAAGGCGGTGGTCGACGGGCAGCGCCGACGGAAGCGAATTTCCGGCGGGAGATGGCAGAGGGGCGTCCGATCGTTGGAATCGGCGGCGGCCTGGGCGACAGCGACCGGGACTTCACGCGACGGGCCCCCTCGCTGAGCGGCTTCTTGAGCAGGCTCCCTTGGAGACGCGGCGGCGGCGGCGGCGCGGGGGGGGACGGGGGTACCCCTACCCGTGAGCAGGACCAGCGGCAGCGGCGGGCTAAACTTAAACCCGGATCGGATGATGCACCTCGTTGGCGGTGATAGGGAAAGCGAGTCGTGGTCCTCGACGGGTTCTACCGTTCCGGTCCCCCCGCCCCGCTCACCGCGGCAGGGTAGAAGGTCGCTGGCGGTGGGGGCTTCCTCATTAAATCGGCCGGTCAAGCGAGGGCAGGGGGTTGGTGGCGCCGCCGCTCCTGCCGCTACTGCCGCTAGCGCCGGTGCTACTGCTAAGAGAGCGTCGACGGTGCCCGACGGAGAGGACGCGGGGGGAATGGAGAGGGGGAGCAACGCGCCGCGTGGGTTGGTCCACCCTGTCGCGGGTTCCGGTGCTGCCGGAGTAGGAACAGCAGCGACACCACCAGCGCCACCGCCACCGCCAGCAGCAGCAGCAGCAGGGGTGGCCACCCCGACACTAGATGGAGTATCCGGCACACAGGCGCCCGCGGTGGCACCAGAGTCTGTAGATGGCAGCTCCAAGGCGGAATGATGATGCTAGGACGGGTGTGTGCCTGTGTTGGCGCAGCGGGGGCTACCAAAAGCTGGAGGATCGGCGGCCGGGTCGCGCAGCGGTGTCGCAGACATAGAGCCTGTCGAGTCCGCTGGCGGGGTGTGGAGTGATACGACGCGGGGTTACATGGCTTGCCGCTCGTAGCAGGCCACGATCGGGTCTACTTTTGACGGCAGTCAGGGCCGCCGTTGACCAGCCAGGCGCAGCCAGCAGCATGTTGTACCGCACCTTGCCGTGTCGTGCCACGCCATACCGCACCGTGCCTTGACCGTACCGTATCGTGCCGTGTGTAACTATGCCGTGCCGTGCCACGCCGTGCCATGCGTTCGACTATGCGAGAGGAGCTACGTGGTCTACACCTAAAGCGTCAGTAAAACCCTTGAAAAACTGGTCTTGTTTTCCCCATGCGTGTTGCTTCGTTTTACTTTTATCGGTGGCCCTTGTGCCGCCTTGTTTATTCGGGGTGGAAGGTAGGCTGTAGCCTGTATCTGACCGCCCGCCGTAGATCACGTAAACTGTATCGTCATTAGGTCAGAGGTGTTGTGTCTCGTGTGTGCGATCGTTTTCGCCCACGGCGAGCTTCGGTGTGGCGAAGACCTTGGTTGTAGTCGGCTTGGCGAGATGGTCGGCAGCATTAGTAGTATCGCTGCTGCCGCTACATGAGGCCGCACGCTACGCCACGTCAGTCGCCCGCGCGACGAGCATGGTAAACTTCGGTGTTGTTTCTCCATTTGTCTCACGTTTTGTGATTTTACGCTGTTGACGTTTCGCGGTTGGTCACGTCGGAGAACTCAACCAACCCTGGTGTTTAGGATTGCCGTATTTAGTCAGTGCGAGTCATCGCACACACACCCTGCATCTTGGCAGCTTGGTTGCCGCGTAGCCTAGAGAGGGCACGAGGACGAAAAACGGCCGGTACTACACGTGCAAGGAGAGGCTCTCGACGAGATTTATGCAACTCCGACCTTTCCGGTACCGTTCGCCTCTTGGTTGTGCATCGATCGAGCCCCGAACGTCAGTCTCGGGCGCGTGCGATATCTCTCGTGCTCTGTTGAGTTGAAGGTCGTGCGCTGCCTGTTGGTTATTTGGATCTGGGGATGGATTCAGTTTTGTTGGCGAACCCATCACGGTTTTACTATTGATCTAAAGAGGCGGGGCAAGTATTTTGTGTTGTTCGTGATTCGATCATGGAGTGACTGTCTTTTGTATTTCGAGCTTTCACGCTGTGGTTTGATCACGTGTGAAATCAACTTCTTTTTTTATATCTTGATGCCCCCCCTTGCCCCCGTGGTGTCGCGTTGGCGAGGCAAAGCGGAAAAGCAGAACATTATTGTGTTTGTAGATTCCCGTGCGCCCACGGACGCGCTGCTTCCCCTAGTGAATCGACTTTGAACGTTTCTCGACGAGACGCGAGCCCGAGAGGCGAGCCAAAATTCTCTAGGGCTTTGTTTCGGTTAGTGGAGACAGAGACCCCCCTTTTGCACATGATGGAACTGTGTGTTCTAACGTTTTGATCCTTTTGTAAAACTGTTGTATTTGCGTCTTGGACAAAAAATGTGGTACTCTGGACTCCGTCTCTCCCTCGAAAAGTGTGTAGATCAAGTTCTGCGCGCACCGTGTGATGTGTAGCTAGTAAAAGCCCGTAGCGATTCGATTGGGATCTCGAAGTTGCGGCATCCTCGTGTTTTGAGTGAATGGTGCAACACAAGCAGCCAGTGGAACAGCTAGGGAACGTATGCATACAAAACTTGTTTTCGTGGTAGCTTCAGCTCTCTCGAGCCTCGAACCTCAAGTCCCAGGTCTTGGGGGTTATCCTGCAGTATGGCATCTATTCCGAAGGTGGCGATCCACCCCCCCCCGGGGGGGAATGGGGGGACGATTTGTCTCGTCCAATAATAGATTGATCCCTCCACGGGCACAGGGAAAGAAGATTCTTGTTTGTGGAAAGCATTGGGCACGGTGTATGGAGGTGGAGAGTTTTCCAACTCTCGCGTGTAGACCGGCCTAGTCTGGGCATTGTTCCCTCCCATCGCAAAGGAAAGGAGCGCGTCAGAACGACTCCATTCAGGGCAATATGGGGGATACGCATGATCATGCAGACCGTCTCTGCACCATGGGCGGGTAAGGGTCTGGCATGCCAACATCGGCGCCTTGTTTCCGTGTGAATGATGTGATCGAGCGCGCGGTGCTTCTTCCGGCACGCCGATAAGAATGCCCGAGATTGCATTCCGTTCATTCACGTGAGGACGTCGCGAACTCAGCGGTGCTACAAGGGATTGCAACCTCGCACCGAAAACGAGCATATTCGAAGGTATTACACACTGCAAGCAGAGACCGGAACGTATTATACTGTGAAGACAACAACAATATCCACCTTAAACGAGCCAATCCACTTCCCTGAAGCACGAACAATGAGAAAAACACGGCACAGATGATGCCCCTCCGATCCTTCCGCCTTCCCTCCCCGCCCCTCCCAAGCAAAAAACAAACAAGCAACGACACAACCTACAGCAGTAGTAGCACCTTTAAAAAGTCTTCGATTCGAACGGGGGGAAAATGCCACTTCAAAGTCGTCACATCGTCTCGAGTTTCAGTAGTAGGCGGCGAAGGTGGCTTCCGTGAATTCCCCGAAGTCCATCCCGGGGCGCAGCCTGTCGGTGATGGGCGCCGCCGCTCGCGGGAGCAGGCTCTTCGAGTGAAGAGACCGCACAGACTCGAACTCCGTGCCTCTGTTAGTTGCGTGGTGGTGGTGCCATACAAAAGTTTTTACGCACGTACAAATACGTAGGCATGATTTCATTTGCAGTTCGCGACAGCAAGGAGCGAGACCCATCGCGAGAATCACACGGTAGCAGAAGTACACCCGAGAGGACAGTAGGGAGTGGGGTGCGGGCGAAGGCCGGTCGGCGCGCAAAAAAGCGGGTCGGAATAGTCGTGGGTGGCGGTAATTACAGAAGAACCATGTTGACATACGTACGTAGGACGGCGAGGAGAACGACGGCAAGCCTACCACGGTACACAAGAAACAAGTCTACGGCAGGCACGCCCCGTCCTCCAGAGACTATAACGCACCTCGTCGATACGGCCACGGCACCGCCACGTGCGGTTCGTAGATACTTGATACCTGCGTTCATCGCGTGCGTACTCACCTTGGCACGTCCATGCTCTCTCCCCATTCCGGCTGCATAAACACCGCGAACGCCTCTCGGCTCACACCTGGTCATATTCCCCCCCGGGCCGCCCCAAACGCAGCACCCCCACACCGCGATGCGCAAAATACAAGATCGAAAGAGAGAGAGAGAGAGAGAGAGGCGACCCACAGTCGATGTAGATGATGAATCGTTCGAAAAACAGAGAGGCAGCACCCAAAAACCTGGTCAAAAACAAAACTCGCAGGAACATGGAACACTACTGTATTTAGTCGCCCTCCCTGCCTCCATCATTCCACCGGCACGAGGGATTGATGATCGTGATCGTCTTCAATAACAGCAGTAACACATCCGACGCGTGACGCACCTTTTCATGTTCTTTTCATGTTCGGCGTACACCTTGCAGTGAAGCAAATATGATGGTGAGTGCGCCCCCCCCCACCCACCCCCCTCTTCACACACACACACACACACACCTGCGTGCCAGCTGAGGTCCACTCCCCAGAAAAAAACAGGTTTCAGGTTTTCACATTACCAGTCGATTCCATTTTGTCGTCTGGCAACAAGCGGGCACAACAATCAATCTAGAACCTGCTGCTAACGAGCGGACAGACAAGTGGAGCTGCCACGGTGAACAAACCACACTGACCGGCTCTTCCTCTCGAGCCCGATGTACTGCTCCGCCCGCATTGGGCAGAGGCACGAGCATCAACTCAATGAACTGTGACAGAGGAGGCCCACAGGCGATGGAACATCCCCCGAAGGAAAGAAAGAAAGACATTCACAGTTGTCTAGGAATCGGTCCTCATCTTTCTCTTCTCCTCATTGAGATGTTCGCCCGACGGTCGATCGGTCTAACTGTCTGTCAGACCGTTCTTTCCGTCTTCTGTCTCTCTCTCTCTCTCTCTCTCTCTCTCTCTCTCTCTCTCTCTC